CATGTATTTATTTATTTTTGCTCTCCATTTGGTTGGTAAATCTTTCTCCATCCCTTTGTTTTGAGTCTTTGTGTATCCTTGCATGTGAAATGGGTCTGGATGTAGCATACTGTTGGGTTTTGGCTGTATCTTTTGATTGGGGGATTTAGTCGTTTTAAATTTAGGATTACTGCCATTTGATGTTAACTGGCTGTTTTATCCATTCGTTGATGTAAATTCTTCTTTATGTTGATGCTCTTTACTTTTTGGTATATTTTTAGAAAGGCTAATACTGGTTGTTTCTTTCTATGTGTAATGCTTCTTTCAGAAGCTCTTGTAAAGCAGGCCTGGTTGTAATAAAATCTCTGAGTACTTGGTTGTTCATAAAAGATTTTATTTTTCCTTCAGTCGTGAAGCTTAGTTTGGCTGGATATGAAATTCTGGGCTGAAGGTTCTGTTCTTTAAGGATGTTGAATATTGGCCCCCACTATCTTCTGGCTTGTAGAGTTTCTGCTGAGAGATCTGCTGTAAGTCTCATAGGCTTCCCTTTGTGGGTAATCTGACCTTTCTCTCTGGCTGCCCTTAGTATTTTCTCCTTCGTTTCAACCCTGGTGAATCTAAGGATTATGTGCCTTGGGGTTGCTCTTCTTGAGGAATATCTTTGTGGTGTTCTCTGTATTACCTGGGGTTGAAAATTGACCTGCTTCGCTAGTTTAGGAAAATTTTCCTAAATAATATCCTGAAGAATATTTTCCAGCTTGGATTCATTCTCTCCATCACATTCAGGTACACCTATCAAATGTAAATTTGGTCTTTTCACATAGTCCCACATTTCTTGGAGACTTTGCTCATTCCTTTTTATCCTTTTTTCTCTAATCTTTTCTTCCCGTTTTATTTCATTAAGTTGGACTTCAACCTCTGATATCCTGTCTTCTGCTTGAACAATTAAAGGGTTTAAACCTGTGCATACTTCTCAGAGTTCCTGTATTGTATTCTTCAGATCCATTAATTCCCTTATATTCCTCTCTAAGTTGTCTGTTCTCATTAGGATTTTGTCAAACCTTTTTTCAAAGTTCTTAGTTTCTTTACGTTGAGCTACAACATGTTCTTTTAACTCACAGAAGTTTCTTATTATCCATGCTCTGAAGCCTGATTCTGTTAATGGTATGCGCTCGTTCTCCATCAAGCCTTGTTCCCTTGTTGATGTGGAACTGTGATCCTCTTTAGAGGGAGAGGCATTCTGATTTTGAGTATTCTCAGCCTTTTTACGCTGGTTTCTTCCCATCATTGTAAATTTATCCACCTGTCATCTTTATAATTACCAACTTTCAGATTAGGTCTCTGGGTCGACATCTAAATTGTTAATTCCCAGGGCCAAAATATGAGCAACCCACTGCGCCAACCAAAACAGCGGCATTAAGATTGATGCTGCTTTTCTGCCCGGGAATCTCCAGTCTGGCTTCCTTCTTGAGTCCATAATAGGCGACTCTACCTTCCCGGAGCTCCAAACCTCTGTCAGAAGAGTAACCAGTCTCGTTTTCTCTGCACCAAGAGCTGCCATGCTGAGGTGCCGGCAAAACCGCTGCGCTGGCCACAAGAGTCGCGCTGGTGACATGTGCGGCTCCTCCACTTGGAATCTTCTGCTCCGTGAGCGACCAAAATTTGTCTGAAAGTATGGCATCCTCTTGTTCTCTGCACTTTCACTGAGAGCTGCAATCCCAAGATGTTAGCGATTGGCCATCTTTGTTTTAATTTTTATTTGTTCATCTAATAACTGATTATTGAGAGCTAATTATCAGCTTATAGGTAGCTACTGGATATACAGGTTGAATATCCCTAATCCAAATATTTCAAAATCAAAAATGCTTCAAAATCCAAAACTTTTTGAGCACTGACATGCTACCTCAAATGAAAAATTTCACACCTGACTTTGTGTGATGGATCACAGCCAAAACACAGGCTCAGACCACAGAGTTTCTTCAGCATCCCCAAGGGGAAAAAAAGATCCTCTCAACCCTCTTCAGCTGTGCTATATCATTTCCATCCACACCCAGATTCACCCATGTAAACATGCTCACAAAGAGTAATAAAATGGTATATGTACCAACGGCAGATTCCCCATGAGGCCCCACATGGAGCCAAGACCTACATGCATTACTCACTGTATTTTTTTTGGCTTTTTCTCTGCTTTGTGATGTAAAGATATTGTTGAAAATATCAGAAAGACCTGAGGATACAACCCTGTGGGTAGCAGTGATAAGAAAAAGAGGAAACATTTCTGTTTATTGATAGCCCAGAAAGTCAAACTGTTGGAGAAACTATACCAGCAATGTAAGTATAAAATGTCATATAGGAAAGGAGGGTGTTGGAATGACTACAATATATGACCTGAAGAAATGGAAGGATAACTGTTGAAGTTCTATTCTGGAAGAGATGAACAGAAGTTAACATAAAATGTAAGAATACTGCATAAAGTTAAAAATGAACATTTCAGTCATGAGGTGGAAGAGTGGATCCATCAGCGTTGAAGTGAACACGTGCCACTTAATGGTATGCTGATCATGAAACAAGCAAAGATCTATCATGATGAACTCAAAATTGAAGCGAACTATGAATATTCAACAGGCTAGTTATAGAAATTTAAGATAACAGCATTACATAGCATTATTTTTAAAGATTTGTGGTGATCAAGCATCTGCTGATTACAAAGTAGCAGAGAAATTCATTGAAGAGTTTGCCAAGGTCATTGCTGATGAAAATCTGATACCAAAACAAGTATATGTTGCTGATGAAACATCAGTTTTGGTGTTGTTATTCAAGGAAGACATTGACTATAGCTGATGAGACAAGTCCTTACAAGAATTAAGAATAACAGAATAGGCTGGGCACGGTGGCTCACACCTGTAATCTCAGCACTTTAGGAGGTTGAGGTGGGTGGATCACAAGGTCTGGAGATCAAGACCATCCTGGCTAATACGGTGAAACCCTGTCTCTACTAAAAATACAAAAAATTAGCTGGGCATGGTGGCACACACCTGTAGTCCCAACTACTCAGGAGGCTGAAGCAGGAAAATCGCTTGAACCTGTGAAGCAGAGGTTGCAGTGAGCCAAGATTGCACCAGTGCTCTCCAGCATGACAACAGAGCAAGACTCGGTCTGCAAAAAAAAAAAAAAAAACACAATAATTGCTGGGATGCACTAATGACTCAGTCACGCCTAAGAGTAAACTTGCTATGATAGGCAAAAGCTTGTGTCCTCACTGTTTTCAAGGAGAGAATTTCTTAGCAGTCCATTAATATGCTAACAAAAGAACTTGGATCATCAGGGACATCTTTTCAATGTTTGTGATTGGTTTCACAAACATTTTATATCAAGAAAGCTGGATTGAATGATGACTGCAAGATTTTGTTATTCTTTGACAACTGTTCTGTTCATCCTCCAGCTGTAATTTTCATCAAAAATAATGTTTATGCCATGTGCTTTCTCCCAAATATTACTTCATTAATTCAGCCATGTGAACAGAGTATCCTTAGATGAAGAGTAAATATATATAAACAGTTTCTTGAACAGCATGCCAGCAACAATGAACAGAGGTATGGGTGTAGAAGGTTTCTGAAGCAAGTTTAGCATGAAGGATGCAATACTTGCTGTTGCAAATACTTGGAACACAGGGACTAAAGACACAATTGTGCATTCCTGGCACAGTCTCTGGCCTGCAACTATGTTCAGTGACAGTGAACAAGGTAGTGACTGAAGGATTCCGTATGTTAAGTGAGGACAAAATGATGTCTCATCTCATTACATAAGCAAAAAATATACCTTCAGAGTCCATAGTAAGCTGGAAGAAGTGGATACAAAGAAGTTATTAACGTTGATAATAATTCCAGGGGTTTTCATTGACCAATGATGAAATAGCCAAAAGAACTCTGAATTAAGATGATTATGTTAATAGTGATAATGACATTGTTTTCATTGCAAAAATAAAAGGGTGCCAATTGACAATATGATGAAATTGTGTGATGGGTATATTGAACAACAAGAGCAGTGTATAGTCATAGCAACAAGAAATTATGTCTGTTCATAAAATCAAGGAGAGGCTTCTAAGACAAAAAAAATTGTAAATGAGGCAGAAGATGCTAGAAGAAACTTTTTTTTTTATTTTGAGACAAAGTCTCGCTGTTGTTACCCAGACTGGAGTGCAATGGCATGATCTCGGCTCACCGCAACCTCCGCCTCCTGGGTTCAGGCAATTCTCCTGCCTCAGCCTCTTGAGTAGCTGGGAATACAGGCACGCACCACCGTGCCTAGCTAATTTTTTGTATTTTTAGTAGAGATGGGGTTTCACCATTTTGACCAGGATGGTCTCGATCTCTCAACCTCGTGATCCATCCGCCTTGGCCTCCCAAAGTGCTGGGATTACAGGATTGAGCCACCGCGCCCAGCTACAAACATATTTTAAAGTCATCTAGCAGAATATTTTCTCATCCCTAGAGGACCTAGTTTTTTAGTGCCTCAGCTGTTTCTGATATTTCTTCTCACCTAAGAAAATAAAATACAGTGTACAATAGCCATTTGATCAAAATGTAGCTTAATACCTAAGATTGGAACCCTGTCATTGTTCCTTGTTGCTGTTGTTGAACAGTTGACACAGGTATTCTGGTGATATTACTATGCTGCTTAGTTGCCCTGAACACATTATTTTCTCACTGTATAAATGATACGTCATAGTTTTTTAATGTTAAGTACTTATGTGCGAATATGTGTAAGAACATTATTGCTTATCAGTAGCATATAAATTTGGAATCAGGAATAATAGTGATCCAAACAACCACAGATCATCCACATGGGTTGCTGATACAGCAATGTCTTTGCTTTCTGATAGTTCAGTATAAACAAACTTCATTTCATGGACAAAATTATTTAAAATATTATATAAAATTACTTTCAGGTATGTGTATAAGATGTATATGAAACATAAATGAGTTTCATGATTTTTTTCTTTTTTTTTTTTTTTTTTTGAGGTGGAGTCTCACTCTGTCACCCAGGCTGGAGTGCAGTGGCACAGTCTCAGCTCATTGCAACATCTGCCTTCCAAGTTCAATTGATTCTCCTGCCTCAGCCTCCCAATTAGCTGGGACTACAGGCATGTGCCACTACACCTGGATAATTTTTGTATTTTTAGTAGAGACAAGGCTTCACCATGTTGGCCAGGCTGGTTTTGAACTCCTAACTTCAGGTGATCCACTGACCTCGACCTCCCAAAGTGTTGGGATTACAGGTGTGAGCCATTGCACCAAGCTGAGTTTCATGTTTAAACTTAGGTCTCATCGCCAACACGTCTCATGTATATGCAAATATCCAAAACTCGAAAAAAATCCAAAATCTGAAACACATCTGGTCCCAAACATTCTGGATAAGGAATACTCAACATTTACAATAATGAACAAAATATACAAAAGTATTGCTCTTCAGAAATTTAAAGTCTATTGGGGAAGACTTGCTTTAAAGCATGTTTAATGTTTTAGTCTTTTCTTACTGATTTGTCCATTACTTTTAAACTTTGTCAAAGAACTTTACCAATATAGAAATTTAGAAACATTTGTTTCATTTTCTTCTGGGTTGCTTTAATTAATGGATTGATTCCTTAAATTTGTCTTTAATTTCTTCGGAATTTGTTTAAACAAACAGTGGGAAATAAAACTCCAAATTGACTTTTTTTTTTTTGAGATGGAGTGTGTCACCCAGGCTGAAGCACAGTGGCACAATCTCAGCTCACTGCAACCTCCATTTCCGGGTTCAAGTGATTCTCCTGCCTCAGCCTCCTAAGTAGCTGGAATTACAGGCGCTCACAATAATACCTGGCTGATTTTTATATTTTTGGTAGAGACAGGGTGTCACCATGTTGGCCAGTCTGGTCTCAAATTCCTGACCTCAAGTGATCCTCCTGCCTCAGCCTCCCGAAATGCTGGGATTATAGACATGGACCACTGCATCCAGCCCAAATTGATTATTTTATAAGCAACAACTAATTTGTAAAATCATCTTTCTCTTCTGTCAAGTCTTTGATGCTTCTTTGATTACATGTTCTTATATCTAATTGGGTCTGTTTCTAGGATGTTTGATCTGCTCAGCTGATCATAAAAGTTACTAATCTTTCCTTAAGTTTTCTTTTCTTTTATTTATAATTCATTATAACTGATATCATTTCCTTCATCTTTTTGTACTACCAATGAATAACAAGCATATGACAAAAACTATCTACATTACCTATTTTTTCTTTAGTTCAAGTAATACACTGGGAATTTTTATTAACTCACTGCCATCATTTTGAATATTGTTTTTTAAAAAAATGAAGGATGGGAAAATGCTAGATAGAGGATCCTGATAAATAAAATCAAAGTGACAGATATTTACTGGGATTCTGTTTGTAATATGAACACATACAGACAGTTAAGTATGTGTAAGTATATGTAAGTATGCCTAAGGACTGATCTCAAAGACAAATTAGTATCAAAGGATAATTTATGTAAGTTTCTGTAGTTTCAGATAGTACTTTTGAGTTTTTGATGGCTGAAAATTTAGTGAAAGCATCAGCGCCTGAGGATGAGATCCTGACTGTCAGGAATAGCAAGCAGACACAGAAATCAAATCTGCCTTTAAATAAAACTCAGCAATTCAACATCTGCACAATATCAGCTGAAGAACAGAAGATCCTAGAGTCCCTTAATGATCTCAATGAAAGACTACATTGTAAGTATGGAAAAACACCTCTTGTAAGAAATGTTGCATTTTGCACTTAGACAATTTAATTTAAACTTTAATTTAAAAATTGAAAAGAAAAATACAAAATGTATTCATATTACCAACTACTTAATTGAGTGCATAACAATTCAGAATATAGTTGAATACTATTTCAAGTATGCCTTATCATTTGTGATGATGTCAACTTCTTTGGCAGATTTATCTTTTAGAAATATATGAATAGACTTCTGTTTCTGCAATGGACAGGCTACGTGTCTATACTGACCATCCATCAAAACAACCATTGATTCTTAAGTATTTTTAAAACCTGCAATATAGTGATGAGCTAGTAAGAATGTAAGAAATGTAGATAACTCAGAAAGATAAGGAGAGTGCTGCAGCTAGCTTTTGTCCTGAGGGTATTTAACTTATAGAGTGAAATTGAACTTTGCTTTTCATGGCCTCATAGAAAAAGGGAACAGGCCTACTCAAGATGAGTAGTCTCACAGAAGATCCTTCCACCATAAAGCTGGGCCACCGGAAGAGCTGTGCACCACACATATATACACAGAGGAGGCAGCACAGGGAGAGGGAACTTTTTTCTTTAAAAAAAAAAAAAAAAAAAGATTGCATTTTTTTTAAACTTCAGTATTGAGCAGGTGACAGAGGAAAAATAATCCCTGCAAATGTAGAATCACAGTCTAGAACAAGTATCACTAATTTATAGCCCATACTAGTATTACCTGAGTAATTCTTAAGATCTCAAGCAAAGAATTTAATTTAGTGTGATACCAAACTGGTAGTATTCCAAAACCTCTGGGAAACGTACATTTATATATCTTCTGGACCTATATCCAGTCCTCAAAGAATTAACACAAGTGAAATCCAAAGAAATGAGCAGCCCACAACAAAAAAAATAAAAGCAAATAACTTAATCCATAAGGAAAAAGGCACCAGGGAAAAAAAAGTCAAAAGAATCCACAGGCAGAATAAAAAGACCCAGAAAGGATTTAGATAATGAAATTACCAGGCACAAACTATAAATAACTATGCTTATATGCTCTAAAGTTACCAGAAATTAGTTTTAAAATATAGAAATGCAGTCATTTTTAAACTTAAACATGCAAGGAATAAGGAACTATAAAGAAAGAGCAAACAGATGTGAAAAGGGGCCCAAATAGAATGCCTGCAAATTGAAAATATAATAGTTGAAACACAGAGTTCAGTAGATGGCTTAACCACAAGATTACAGACATCTGAAGAGAGAATTAGTAAACTAGAATATGAATCAATTTATCTACAATATATTTTAGAGAGATAAAGAGATAGAAAATACAATATAGAGCTTAAAAGACACACAAGAGTAAATAAAAAGATTTGAAAGGCCAGAGACAATATCTAAAGTGATAATGGTTGACAACTTTTTCAATTTGTTGAACAATACCAACTTACAGATTCAACAACCCAACACATTTCAGAGTTTTATGAAATGACCACTAAGATACATCACAGTTAATTTTAATCAGCAATGAAAAAGGCAGAAAACCATGAAAAAAATCAGGAGATATTGACAGTATGTCCAATGTGCTGAGAGAAAGTAACTTTCAAATTTAACACCTTGACATGAAAATGTCTCTCAAGAAGGAAGGTGAATTAAAAGTATGTTCAGACAAAAACCAAGAGACTTTGGGTTTTTTTTAATTTTTTATTTTTATTGTGTTTTAGGTTTGGGGGTACATGTGCAGAACATGTAAGATAGTTGCATAGGTACACACATGGCAGTGTGTTTTGCTGCCTTCCGCCCCCTCACCCACATTTGGCATTTCTCCCCATACTATCCCTCCCCAGCTCTCCCTGCCATGCTTTCCCTCCCCTATTCCCCCCAATAGACCCCATTGTGTAGTACTCCCTTCCCTGTGTCCATGTGTTCTCATTGTTCATCACCTGCCTATGAGTGAGACTTTGTTCAAACAGCAGACTTACTGAAGGAAATTCCAACTGCACATCACCAGACAGAAAGTGCAGTTAACCTCAGATGGACAGTATGAGAGAATACATTTCAACAAACATTGCATAAAACAATAAATATAATTTATTATATGTAGTATATGTTTCAAAGAGAAAAAGCTTAGAATGAAAATACCTATCAATAATAATATGCAAGTTGGGAGGGTATAAATGAAGTTAAAGTATACTAGGATATTTATATTGTTAGGGAATTATTTAAAGTCATAGATGAATTTTAGATATTGATAATTGAAGTATGCCTGTGATAATTACTAGAGTCAAAGATAAAGGACTAGAAATTTAATATACAACTTCCAAACTGGTAGAGAAAGGAAAGTGGTGTGTAAAAACTGACAAATCAATCAGAAATAAAGTAACAGAGGAGAGAAAAATAAACAGAAGAAATACTATAAAATTATATGTACAAATATATTTACAATACTTGTAAATGTAATAACCGCTACAATTAAAAGAGGTTGTTAAATGGAACTTTACGTTGAAAGTATATTCTGTTTATAAACAATACATTTAAAACATAAGAGTATTTTTAAAACTGAAAGCAAAAAAAGGTGGAAAAGCTATGCCAAGCAAGTTCTAACGAAAGGAAAGCTGGGTTGATTCACTTTTAAGTAGAAAGGATTATTAGACATAAAAAAGAGCCCTTTATGATGAGCAAAGTTTTAGTTCAGAAGAAATACATAAGATTTTTATATGCACTTAAGAACCTAGCCTCAAAATATATAAAATATTTTTAACCATGGTGAGTGATTTTAACATGTCATTGTCAGTAATTGATAGAACAAATAGATTTTTAAAATCAAGTAGATGTATAAAAATTGAATATGATTAACAAACATGATCAGAGGGACACGTTCTTTGTAAGTACACATACAACCTTTATAAAATGAACCATATATAAGACCATAAAACAAACCTTAACACATTCCAAAGATCAGAGTCACAGAGACCACATCCTCTAACCACAATGCAATTCACCTAAAATCTAACCAAAAGATAATTATTAATAAACACATTTCTAAATAAAATATGATTCTGAAGAAAAAAATATCAAAATAGGAATTTTTAAATATTTAGATGTGAACAATAATAGAAATGTTTTATGTATCTATCAGGGTTTCTCCGCTTCAGCACCGTTGACATTTTGAGCTGGATAATTCTTTATTTATTGTGGGGGACTGTCTCGTGCATTGTAACATGTTCAGCAGCATTTCTGGCCTCTACTCACTAGATGCCATAACACTTCCCTATCATGACAATCAAGTGCTCCCAGACATTACCAAATTTCCCCCCGGGTGGCAAAAATCACCTATGGTTCAGAACCACACACATACTACTATATGTCTGTGTTTTGTGTGTGGATTCTATTTCTGCCTAAAATGTAGAAGGCCAGAATGTATCAGTCCTTTTCTAAGAACAATAAAAGATAAATGACAAAAGTATAACTTTCCTTGAGCCCATTACAGAGCTGAGGTCACATCACAACCAAGTAGTCTAGCATCCAAGGAAACACAGAAACATCTAAAGAGAGACAGGTTGTGAATATTTTCTCACCCATGGGAGAATATGAGAGAGAGAAGTGTCAAATTCCATACAAGTTGATATTAGAAATTTTGTTTAAATTTTCAACAAATTGCTAAAAGATGAATGTGGACTACAGCGAGGATGTAGAACCTCTGGGAGCCATAGGCACAAAGGAACTTCACACCTACTCAGATTCTTCTCTATGGATCTACACTGAGGGTTCATGAGAAAAATTGGAGGCAGAGCAGGAGACAAGAGAAATGCTTTCTCAGTAGTGCGGGCCTGACAGAGGGCAGCAGCCACTGCTGTAGGAAAGGCATGAAGTACCCCCGCCTCACCTGCCATGCAGAACCATTCCCCCTGCTATATAAAAACCATCTGGGACAGAGGAAGCATATCTTGTTAATTGCTCTGAAGGCACAGGTGAAGAGTTAGTGGGCATAGGGAAAAAATAAAGAAAAAAAGGCTCTACCCCGGGGAGAGGGGTAAGAAACTTTCTGGACCACAACTATTAGTGGTATCCTACTGTTGGAGGAGGGGTCTAAAATTCTCTTGCACAAAACCTGCCAAAGATACAAGGTAAAGTTAACTGTCATGGGTAGGAGGAGCAGGAGGTCACACAGGGTCTGCTTAAGATTGAGCCTGGACCAGGACAAGAGAAAAATTACCCTACTTGCCCACTACCAGACCAACAAGTACTAAGTAACAAATAACAGAAATCTACTACTGGGAGACAGGCAAGAGCATAGAGAGAGATCCCTTCTACTGTGCCCACATGCAGGAAGGCCAAAATATTAGGACAGAACAGGAACATTTCAAGGGGTGGAGGGACTCTCCAAGACCCCTGCATAAGTACAAAATAACACCAAAGGAATGAAGTTAGAAACGTACTGTAGTTGGCCACAGCAACAACAAAACCCAAACACACTCAGGGAGGCTGAGGCATGCATATTTCTTGAGCCCAGGAGTTCGAGACCAGCTAAGCAACATAGTGAAACCCTGTCTCTACAAAAAATTCAAACAAAAGTTAGCCAGACATGGTGGCACATGTCCATGGTCCCAGGTACTCCAGAGGCTGAGGTAGGAGGATAACCTGAGCCCAGAGAGGTCAAGGCTGCTGTGAGCCGTGTTCATGCCACTGCACTCCAGCTTGCACAACAGAGTGAGAACCTGTCTCAAAAAAAAAAAGTCAGCTCAAATTCCCCCTACAAAGTTTTTAAACATCTATACATACA